AGCGTGACAAAATTTTCGGTGCCACAGATGAATACAATCATTGTGTGGTGGGACATTAGCACACTGCACTTGTGCGTCTTCAATGGACTCTCCACTAGCCCCATTTTCCACCAGCCCCATTTTTCCACCAGTCCCATTTTCCACTAGTCCCACTTCTCCACCAGCCCCATTTCCAACAGGCATCTGCACCAGAAAGAGCCTGTCTGTTCTCTCAACGCTGTAGACCTTCTTTCCATCCCTGTAAAAAGAGCATAATTTGTTAGAGAACCGAACATCGAACCCTTCATCATTTAAGGCTGTTACACTTAAAAGAGAGTGCGCAAGCTCTGGGACAACATAAGCTTGCACCCAACAATCTAGAAAAGAACAATATAAAGACCCAGATTTAGTCAGTGGTCTTTTAACTCCATCTGCCATTTTGACATAACGTCCAGTTTTAACTGTCTTGCAGTTCCTCAGGAGCCCAGCAGATGGCACAAGACAGTGAGTCGCTCCCGTGTCTATAATTAGAGATACAGTGTCTCTCTGGCTGTCTTCCAAAGCTGCCATGGCAACGCTCGCACCCCCACCGGGGCCTCTGCAAGAGTCAAAGTCAGTGTTCTGTCTGGTTGCCATGCACACAGCCTCCCCCCGATCAAGGCTTTTGCCTTTTCCCAGGCACACTGTCGCAGCTGTGAGGTGATAAGACGCCTTGTCTTTGTTTTTCTCCTGGCCTGCAGCTTTCCCATGTCTAGCTCTGGGAACCTGCTTTGTTGACATTCCACTCCAGCTGGTGTCCTTGACAGCCTGGGCTTCCAGCGGATGCTTCCCAGCGCTGTTGGACGTCGCCTCAGAGCACAAACAACTCTTGGAGACTTTCGCTTTCTCAGAGCTCTTGCGTCGACTTGCATGGCCTGCACCCCCACTGTTGGGTGCCTGTCTGCCTGAGGAACAGCTTGCAACTGCCTTCCTCTTGCCAGCTCTCAGCCTCTCTCCAGCACACAGTCCATCACACAGATGTGTTGAAGCATAAAAGCAGCTTTCCAACACTGCTCCAGCCCCCTCTGGGCTTGATGCTTTCTCTGGGCAACTCTCAGCCCCCTCTGGCCTGGCTCCCACTGAGGCTTGACATGCCATCTTCAGTGCCTGCCACGCGACCCAGGGCTTACTCCCTTGCAGCCTTGGCAACAGCCAAGTATCAACGCTGGCCCTCAGGATTGCTAGCACCCTTTGCTCTCTCTTCAGAGCAGCCACATCTGCTTCCACTGCTCCTGCAGACCTCTCACTGGGCTGGGCAAGGACTGGATCAGCTTGGGTGTAATCCCAAAGCTTCCTTTCTGCCAGCCAGTAGTACATGCGTGTACTCCAGGCTTCCCAATTGGCTCCATGCAGCCTTTCAAAGGGATATTGAAGCTCTCATGGCCCTGTGCCTGAGCAGCAGCCATCTCCTCCCCCCGGGGCTTCAAGCGTACTCACTCTGCCAGCAAGCTGGTCCTCCGAAGCAGCCGTCTATCTTGGCTCTTGGCTCCGATCACCAGCATCTCCCACTGCCCTTCCTGGCAGGAGATCACAGCAACTCAAAGCTGGCAGTTTTCCTCCCTTCTCACACATGTCAGGAAACACGTAAGATCCATAACCTCTGGGGGTGAAAATAAAATCCCCGTCCGGAATATTGGGTCCAGCAAGCTTCCCAGTTCAGCTCCGTATCCCTGGAAGCTCTGAGCTGGCCTAGCAGAGTAATGCAGCGGTCCTGAGTCCATGTGAGAAAGGGATAAATCAAGTCCATAGGCAGATCGGTTCTTATCTTTAGAAGCGTTTATTTACAAGGCAATAAATCCATTAACATCCATCGGAAACTTCAGCCATTCTCCGTGCTTCCAAAAGCACCCTCACAGCTCCTCTGAGCTGAGCTGTGTCTGTCTCAGTCAGAAGTGAAAGTAGAACTGAACACAGACACACACTGTGACGCATTTCCCTGCATCAAGCTCCTCCCAGAGCTCCTCCCAGATACAGGGCACCACGGAGTTTTAACCCTGCCAGTTCCAAACTCCACAAAGATGCACACGTATTCCTACTGTGCATCATATGCCATTTAACCCTCTTCCAAGGAAGCTGAAAACCAGGCAGTTTTATGAGGTCGTTTTCTACCCTGCACAACTTCCAGTGTAGTAGAAAATCGACATTGGGTAAAATGAATGATACAGTTTATGGTATATTTTTTCTGGCCAAAGTCAATTCACGGGATGTTTCAGGATTGTAAAATGTCCGAAAACAAAGCCATGTGTGTAGTATCAGGAGAAGGGCACTCAAATTCCTTGCCTGGGTTGATTCGGGCTCAAAACACCACATCAGACTCTCTATTTTACCCCAGTAAGTTAACATTGCCTGTTTTTCTTCGTTGTATCTTTTTAAGCATATACTCCATTTGGAAGATTCACTTGGTTTTCTTGGAATTTTGTGTGTGTGGTTATTGTTATTTTGTTATTATTTGCAGAGTGAAAACTGCAGTGACGTGCCTGAAATTTGGGGGGCTGGCTCACTGCCAGGCAGATATCAGTAAAGTAGGAGAATGACATTGTAGGTCTATTTCTGAATGAATTCTGCAGTGAAAAGTGATCCCAGGGTGGCTTCCAACCCTGTTTTCGTGGGGAAAGTTTTGATGCATAATCTACAAAGAAGCTCCAGAATATATAACAGTACTATGCTTTTAGAAGATACTTTTTTTTCTGAGAGCTCAAAGCATTCCCCATATGATTCTGTCTCTCACTCTCTCTTTTGTGGACAAAAATACAAGATTCTATTTATTACATGTGGGACCTGCTGCAAGAAAGTTGCTGTGTGGAGTGTTCCTGCTTGATATTGCAGCCAGCTGGCTCAGCCCATATCCAGGACACTCCATTCTGTTCCCCTGCCTGGTATCCCATTTTCCATCCCAGCAGACATTCATCATTCTGTGACCACAGAGCATTTACAGTTTTTATTGGCTGTTCCACCCCCCCAAAAAAAAGAGTTTTTGTACTTTTGGAAAGTTTGGGGGTCCTTCAAGCATTCTGAGAATCCCTTTTGTTTCTCAATAACCCTGTTTGGGCTACACAGCCAGCATATCTCATAATTTGAGTTTGCTCTTAATACATCTAAGTGGAGTCTGTTTGCTTCAGATCCCACTTACATGTATTAAGAGAAAACTCAAATGCTGATGTGGAGTGCTGCTGTTCATTGAGCCAGCCATGTCATTTTAAAGATCCCATTCCATTCCCCTTCCCCATTTTCACCGCCCCATTTCTCAACATCATCTGACAATTGAACAACCTCATTCCTCACTGGACTGGGTTTGTTTATAGTGGGGGAAGGTGCTTATGTACATGTGTGTTCTCTTACATTATTTTTCTAAAGATTTTTGGTACTACTTCAAACCTCAAGGGTTCCCACAAGCCTTCTAATACCTCCTCCTCATAAATGGATAGAGCTGTTGTCTTTGCGTAAGGATCCTCAAGGTGTGGTTAATATATTGGATGAGACATACTTGGGCCACTTTCCTGTCTAAAACAAATATTGTGCATGTGGAGTGTTTTGATCGCTCTGGAGATGCTATCTAAATACAGTGGTACATCGGGTTAAGAACTTAATTTGTTCTGGAAGTCTGTTCTTAATCTGAAACTGTTCTTAACCTGAGGTACCACTTTAGCTAATGGGGCCTCCCGCTGTGCCACCACCGCATAATTTCTGTTCTCATCCTGAAGCAAAGTTCTTAACCCGAGGTACTATTTCTGGGTTAGCGGAGTATGTAACCTGAAGCGTCTGTAACCTGAGGTACCACTGTAATAAGAATAGCTGTGGTGCTCTGAGTTGGATCTGAATCACCAGTTCCATAATACCAATGGAGGACTAAGGATACCCTATGTTGGTCAATGAATGCAAAGATTCTGAGATGATTGACAGGGACTTGGTGCTGAATTTCTGATTTGCCTCATACCTAACTGTATATTAAAATGGTTTAAAAAATAGAGTCTGCAAATACGCTTTTTAGTGAGGAAGCCCCATTGAAGTAGGACTTACTTCTGGGTAAGCATACATGGGATTGCATTTTAAAGGGGTGGGGAACCCTAAGCCTTTCACTCTGTATATGTTCAGCATATTGCTCTTTTACACTGAATTATGACCTACCTACTATTGACTTATGATAGATTCCACATCGAGTACCCTTGGCCACCTCTATCTCAATCACAATTTTTCTCTCTATGGGTCCAGCTACCTTTAATGGCTAGTATTTGGCTCCCTTGCAAGTGATTTAAGCCTTGGAAAAACTGCACGACGATGAGTCTGCTAAGGTTTCCTTCTGTTCCGGGGAGAACGCTAGTGGCTTGGTAACAAAGCATGTCTCGTCAAAGTTGTTCTTGTTGCTAACAGTAGTTTCCTCCCTCCACCTTTTTTTTTTGGTTCCTTTTCAGTTTTGCAAAGTATTCTTAAAAATATGTGCTTTTCGCTTTTCCTTTCAACAACATCACTCTGTTTGATCACAGACAACACATTCGAGGCACTTTTCCACCAAAGGAATTTGTCTTGTTGAGGGCACTTCAGAATACCTCTCCTGGGTATCAAGAAGAATTCTATCATTCTAGCAAAGAGGAATAGAATGATAACTTTGCTGCCCAGTGTAGAAATCATGGGGCTATATCCATGCTGCAGACTCAAACTGAGTTACCAGTCATTCCCTGGGAACGAGGGCTGGGGATCTCAAACAGAGGGTGCTCAGCACCTTCAACCAAACAATATTTCCCAGGTTTCTTTGGGGGAAGCAATGATTGTGTAAAACCAGCATCTGTTTGTAGTGCGGATATGTCCCATGAGACTACCAATCCAGTCTTGGCATGTAGTTTATTTTGAGCAAATGTAGAGCTTGCCGTAGTCTGTTTCCTTTTCATTTAACGTTTCTGTAATGTTTTAGTAGGCTTTGGGCTAGAATCCAAGTGTCCAGCTCTCCTGTGTGTCTTAACCCCCAGCCTCCCCTTTCTTACCTGCAGGCCTCGACCAATCGGAAGCGAGTGGAGAACATCGCAAAGAAGAAGCTGGACTCTCTGATCAAGGAATCCAAAATCCGCGACTGCGAAGACCCAAATAATTTCACAGTGACCACCATGACGCCCTCTGGGAAACTTGGCAACAAGCATGATTTCAAGAAGGTAAAAAAATTTGTGCTCTTGGGTTTGTTTGTTGCCTCATCTGCTTTGCCACAAAAGACAAGTGGAGAATTGCGTTCAGGACCATTTCAGTTGTTTCACATTGCAAACACATTTGCAATGGCTGTTTCCCTGAGGAACAAAAAACAAACAATCAAACAAACACATGAACAGACACCTTTAATCCCCCTTGTTTGCAGATTCAAAGGCCCTGTTAGGGCGAGGTCTCCATCGCCTTATATAGCAAGCATATTCCATCTATACTTTATATGCTTCCTGAAGAAAATCCCATAAGTATGGGGCATAATTCCAGTACCCTTAAAGCTCTCAAAAGATCAACCTCTAATGTTGCATCTGTCGTGTTGTAGCTCCATTGTGGGCCCATGTTTATAATACTGTGTGCAAATCTGGTCTCTCCATCTCAAAAATAAATATAATAATATCCAGAGAAACCGAAACAAATGTCAACAGAACCTTCCTTAGGCAAGGCTGAAACTTTTTGGGAATGGAATGCATTTGGAAATAATTTTTTCTGACACTGTATAGACACCATATGTGTTTTAAGCATAAGGTAAAGGTAAAGGGACCCCTGACCATTTGGTCCAGTCGTGACCGACTCTAGGGTTGCAGTGCTCATCTCGCTTTATTGGCCGACAGAGTCAGCGTACAGCTCTCCTGGTCATGTGGCCAGCATGACTAAGCCACTTCTGGTGAACCAGAGCAGTGCACGGTAATGCCGTTTACCTTCCCGCCAGAGCAGTACCTATTTATCTACTTGCACTTTGACGTGCTTTTGACGTGCTAGGTTGGCAGGAGCAGGGACCGAGCAACAGGAGCTCACCCCGTCGCAGGGATTTGAACCGTCGACCTTCTGATCGGCAAGCCCTAGGCTCTGTGGTTTAACCCACAGCACCACCTGCGTCCCGTTTTAAGCATAAGACATCCCTAAAGAATTCTAGGAATTGTAGTTTAAAGGTGCTGGGAATTGTAGCACTCTTTCTCTCTGTGTGTGTGCGTGTTTGTGTGTGTGTGTTAAACTATAGCTCAAAGAGTGAAACGAAGAGTGAGAGTGAGTGTGTGTGTGTGTGTGTGTGTGTGTGAGAGAGAGAGAGAGAGGTGCTTTAAATGTATGGTGCTATGCAGCCTTAGTCCCTTGAGCCCATTACAGATCAAAACCCTTCAGAGTTAAGGAACAATATGTAAAGGAGATGCATTTTGCCACAAGTCTTTCCTCCTGCTCAGGGGCGGAGGAAGGGGGGTGCATTGGGGCGGGCTGCCCTGGGTGTCATCACTGAGTGGAGTGACAAAATGCCGGGCGGCACTCACTGCGGGTCCTGCAGCACGCCTGAGCCACGCACTTCTCCTGGGAGTGACGAGGTGGCTTGGGTGCCCACAGGCTCCACTCTGCCCCAAACGGTGCTCCCGCTACCTCCCCCTCAGCTGTAGGGCGGCTGAGTGGCAGGAGGTAGGCAGACTCTTCAGAAGCCCTGCGGAGCATCCTACCCTGGCTCGCCCCGCCCCATGGATGGCTGGCCCTGCCCCTGGGCGCAGGGCACGCCCACTGCCCCAGGCACCCAATCGGCTTGCTCCGCCACTGCTCCTGCTCCCACTTCTCTTTCCATCCTTCAGTCTCCCATCAACAATGTGAGGGGGTGGGGGACACCCATGACAGGTCCTAGACACTACCGCATACATGCCCTGATCTCCTAGGAACCCTGGGAAATTAGAGAATGTGGGAAGTGATTTAATCCCGGAGTCGGACCCAGCCAGGCCTTGCTGTCTGACCTCTGCTTCTGATAAATGTAGGTGGAATAGCTGAGGTTGTAAACAGTTATTTGAGGGGAGGAACCAAATCTCTTGTGGTCCTCGTTGGACTGATGGATAGGGTGGTGGTCTTGCTACCCTGCCTTTCCCCTTGACAAAGCCACCTGCAATCAGTACTCTCCTGGGAGGACTGTACCATCTGCTTTTTCTTTCTAAAAAAACAAACCTGCATTCAGTAGTGCTCTGCTTTCAGAGAGCAAGGGAATTGTTACTCCTCTTATTAGCCCTTTTGCTGCCTCTCTGCCAAGGTACTCTGGGCCATTTTTCTGCACCGCTCCACTAATGTCAACATAAACGCCGTTGTGTTGCCTCAGCAGGGCTGACTCTTCCCATTAGCGTGAGTTGTTCTATTAGCAGTGTTAGTTGTGCTTGGATAAATCTGACTGTATTTTTAGAGTAGCAGCATCCTTTTGTTTGTAAACACAAACACCCACACAATTCTCCGTCGCCTTTAAAATAGCAGCTGAAGTCTGAGAAATCCATCTATTTTGGGATAGGTCTCTCTTTTGTGTCATTATTTGGTATTTCTATTCCTGAGTAGTTTTCTTTCTTTCTTTCTTTTCTTTCTTTCTTTCTTTCTTTCTCAGCTTTGGCATGCTTAAATGTTCTCTTTATTCTTTGGCTATTCTTGCCGGATAATTTCCTACTAAGGGGCCAACAGGTATTAAGGATTCTGCCTGTGGAGAACAGGATCTGCCATGGGGAAGGAACAGGAGGGGGGTTTTTGGGCGGGGGGGGGAGGCTTAGGGACGGATGAATCTGTCAACTTCAGTTTCTCATGTTTTGCAATCTTAAATTCCATTCTTCACATTTCTACAGCAGTTTGTTGCCGTTGTTTTAAAAATCCTCAGGAAAAAATTGCCAGCATTTTAGTGAGAATTTATCCCAGAGATAACATGTTTGTATGCAGTTTTGATTCATATAAACATTTGTACAAGCAATTTTCTCCAATATAATGCATGTTTGGACATTCACTTAGGGATGCATTTTATGCATACATGCATTCCTGCATTGCAGGGGGTTGGACTAGATGGCCCCTAGGGTCCCTTCCAACTCTACAATTTTATGATTCTGTGATCTGTGTACACATTGTGTGCTTGGGGAACTGCATCTACAAAATTTGGAGAACTGAGAATTTTGAAGGATGGCTGTGTTTCCAATTGCATGCCGATTCAAAAAGTGTGACTTGGGTGGTTTCTCATTCAAATGCAAACTGAGTTGAACTTCTTGCTTCAGCCTCCTGTAAGTCTATCCCCCCTCCTGCAAAAAAAGACAAAAGAGATGATACTTTCATCCAAAGAAAGTGGTGCCTGAAAAAGAAGTCAATTGATCATTCACATTACATACAAAGTTCTCTAGGGACCTTCAGCTGGAAGTGTCTGGGCTAAATCCACTGGACTCATACTGTACGCTCTGAGGTAGGGTTGCTGGATTGCAACCCGGAGACCTGCCCTATAAATGCCTCAGGAGGCGAGACACCGCCTGTCCCCATCTCCCCCAATATGTCACCAGCGGGACTGCCGTGTGCCGCATCAAGTGCAAATACAGAATCATGTGGAAGCAAGTTGCCTAGTGGCTGATCCCTAATAACACAGTTAATCCTGACTGATCACCGCTCTGGCTTTTTCCTCTGCGAGGACAATTGAGCTTGAGCACTAATGGGGCAGTCATTGGCTTCTCTGTTAATCATGACAAATATTTATTGTGTGCCCAGATTGCCCATCCCTTTGTGTATGTGTGCATGTGCCTGCTCTCGTACCACCAGATGCGCGAAGGACACTGATGCAAAGAGAACTGGTGTTCTGTTGTTGTTACTCTTCTTTTTTATATCCCCACTGTGCTAAACTATTTAATACCTGTTTGTTTCCGAGACAGCAACTGCTGCTAGCTTGATCAGAAGCTGTTGAGTGTGTTTGCCTGGGGGCGGGAGAGGGAAATGGGGAGAGCATTTCAAAGAGGCCACCATTATTAGCAATTTATGGCTGCCATCTACGCCTCGGGATTTTTTCTAAAATGAAAAGCAGATGCAACTGGGTTCCAAGAAGCCAAGTTCAGGGAGGAGGGCCATAGTTGGGTGGAAGAGGATCTGCTTTGCATACAAAAGACGCCAGGTTTAGTCTGTAGCATCCCCAGGTGCTCCCTGTCTTGAATTCAGGAGAGCTGTCGCCCATCAACTTAAGCAATACTGAGCTAGATGCATCAGTGGTCTGAATCTGTAGACGGCAACTTGCTATGTGTGTGAGAGAGTTCACTGGCAAGGCTTTTGTGCCTTCCGAATCAAACCTGATGAAGCATCATGAGGAAGCAGCTGCCAGTAACGCTGGGGTAGCTAAGTCAGTAGAACATGAGACTCTTCATCTCAAGGTCACGGGTTCAAGCCCCAGTGTTGGGCAAAACATTCATGTCTTGCAGCCGGTTGGACTAGAAGAACCTGGTGGTTCCTTCCAAGTCTACAATTCTATGATTCTTCCTTGGGAGGAGAGCAGTCCCCAACAGATACAACACTTGGGCCCTGGGTTTTTTTTTTGGGGGGGGTGCCTTGGTGCTAATCCTTCCTCTGATTCTATTGAGGTCAAATGTCCACCATAGTCTATCCAGCGAGGACTGGCTGTGGGGCCAGGTTGGATACTTGCACAGGAAGAGTGTGGTGTCAACAGATGCTCTGGCTAATTGGGCTAAGTCCTTTCTGCTTTTTATGCTGGCTCCCTCCTCTTCCTTTTGCTTCTAAGCCCACCTTTCATTCAGAGGGCATTTCTGGCTCTCTGCTCATGAATGAAAGGAGAAGGGGGATGAATTGCTGCCTCCCGTGTCTCAATCGGGATCTGCCTGTGAAAACAACATGTTTAATCTGATCTCAGATGATGTTGTTTTCTTGGTCCGTAGCTCCTGCAGGGGAAATGAAGAGCGATTTTTCATACACACCACCGCTGTTCTCTGTTTTGGTTAACGCTTAACTCTGGGCTGACCTTCTGATAATCTGCCCTTTAATTATCAGAAGGGCTTAAAAAACAAACAACAGTGAAATTGGCACGCAGTGCGAACGAAGCTCGTTGCTTTTTATTATCGGCTGCCAGTGTATTTTTGTTAAGGTATCTGCATTTGCAACAGATATATCACATAAGTAGGACGGCTTTTTCTAAGGCAACACAGGAACATTGGAAACTGCCTTATACTGAGCC